GTTTTTACTGTATACTAATAATTTATTCTGCATTTAAATTAGACCTTGAGTTTCTGAAAAAAATGTATGAGTCAGTGAGAGTATTTATGAAAAGGAACTCTGAGGAAGTTTTTTTACTACCACTTAAAGATACTGATCTGTTTCTGTGGGGGAGGAAGAAACTTTCCTCTACCAGGGTGTTTAGCCCCCATGAAGCCAAGGATGCCTGTGAATGTGGCCCAACACAAAATCATAAATTTACTTAAAACATTATGAGATTTATGTGTGTGTGATTACATGTCACAGTGTATTTAATGTGTGGCCCAGACAACTCTTCTTCCTCCAGTGTGGCCCAGAGATGCCAAAAGGTTGGACACCCCTGCTACTATCAAGGCTCGAGGGTTTTTTTTCTTTTTCTGATCAAATAATCAAATAGACATGAGACAGATTAATGAGAAAATAACCAAATTTAATTGTACACATATGTATGGGAACCCCACATATGAGAATCAGAGACCTTGTATACATGAGAGGTTCAGAGACAGAGAGGGAAATTGTGTACATAAGGCATTCTGAGCCAGGGATGAGCTAATGCAGCTTGGGGCTTCAGAAGGTAATTGCAGGGAGAGCACGTGTTCAGTAATTACTAGTTTGCCCTGCCATACAGATACGTAATAGCCATTTCTGGTGGTAACTCTCATCGTGGGCCAGATTCCTAATTTAAATTCTTCTAGCTAGTTAAGGGGTGGGCAGAAGTTTCTTTGAGCCTGCAGGGCCTCTGTTGCCTTAGCTCAAAATAATCCCCACACCACTGAGGCACATCTCAGAGAGACTCATTCCGAACCCCTCCCTGCATATCTCATTATAGAAATTAAATTAAATACATACCTAGTGAGTACTTCCTAAAATACTATGTCAGAAGGAGAAAAAAATCAGAAAATGGCTAGAGAAGTTATGCTTTGTGTTTTCTTTTGCAAGTTGCAGTTATTTTTATTTAAAGAAAAACAGCTTTTTCCAAGGGCAACAAAGTAAACTGAAAAGGTCAGAAGGAAGCAGGGTCAGTGCTCCTCACAAGCTCTTGTTCCAGAACTTGAACTTGAGGAAAGGGGGCACTCCTGGGGACTCAGGAGTAACTGACTGGCAGAGGGGTGACTTCAGTGGGAAGAGGTGGAGCTGCAGCCCACTTGGTCCCTGGAGTGGTCTGCAGGGGCTCCAAGGTCATTTCCACCTGACAGTCAGTTGACATGATTAACACTATTATTCTTGGGGGGGCATTAAATCAAGGAATGAATTGTGGACCCAAGAGAGTGGCTTATTCAGTTGGATTCTGAATCACAATCAGGAAATAGTCTTTATCTGGTACAACCGTAATTTCATTTTTCTTGGAGCAAATTTAAAGGAAGGTGAAGTCATTTTGGGGGTCAGTCTCACCCACAGAGCTCCAGGCCTTCGAGACAAAGTTGTGCATGAGGCTGTTGGACTGTGTGGTGGTGCGACTGTCCACGGTGCTCTTAGTAAGGACGGCTTTGTGTTCCCTACAATAACCCCCACACTCCCTTCTGGCTCTGCAGTCACCTCAGTGTCTCCTCCACCTCTGCCTTCTCAGACTGATCCAGTAGCTCCACGTCACCAGCACCAAGAAACTCCTGAATAATTTTTACCCTTTACTTTACAAAGGACAACTAGAAGGTCTCCTTGCATTGGCAGGGGCCCCAGCAAAACACTCCACTTCCCTTCCCAGTGAAAAGTTGCAGCAGTTGTACACTTTGTTTCCATAATCTAATCCTCTCTCAGCAGGTCTCCTCTCTGTTCTTCTCTGAGCCTTTTGCTTTTCAAGATTTTATTCTATAAATTTAATGGTAGCCACCTTTTTCCAAGTTTCGTCTGCCTTGTTTTCCAGCAGTAAACACAGTGCGTTAACATGAAACATGGTGTCAGGGTCTCCTGCACAGACCCTGACAGCTCAGGGCTTTCTCTGCACATTGTCCCGAGCCTCCTCTGTGGTTCTTACTTTCATCTTGGGTGCTTTTATCCACCATCCTGGCTTCGAGGTTCAATTTTTGGGTGACTCCCAAATATGTAATTCTCTGAGCTCTTTCTTACAAAGAAAATAAGAGTCACACGATTCTAATATTCTGCAGGATATTTCCACCTGGATTTTTAGCTGGCACCTCAAACTCACCTTCATTTGTATCTAAGAGTTTTGGTTTTTTAAATTAACTCTGTTGTGGTAATGTTGGTTAATAACATTATATAGTTTGGGGATACACATGTTATAATTCAAGATCCATGTACTTTATTATGGGCTCCCTACCTGAAGTCTGGTTTCTTTCTGCTACCATTATTTGGCCCCTTTATTCACTCTGCCTTCTTCCCCTTGCTTCCCCTCTGGTAACCACCATTCCGTTGTCTGTATCAGTTCGTTTGTTTTGTTTGTTCATTACTTTTTGTTTTATGTTCCACAGTAAGTGAAATGATAAAGTTTTTGTCCTTTTCCATTGGATTTATTTCACTTAGCATCATACTCTCAAGATCTATCCATGTTGTTGTAAATAGCATATTTCATATTTTTATGTCTAAGTAGTATTCTGTTATATATGTATGCATTTTCTGATATATGTGTGTGTGTGTTTGTGTGTATCATATCTTTTATATCCAATCATCTGCCAGTGGACACTTAGGCTGTTTCCATGTTTCTATGTCTTAGCTATTATAAATAATGGTGCAGCAAACAGAGGGGCACATATATTGTTATGAATTTAATTCTTGATAAAATGTACTTGGTCATGTTGGTTCAAAGCAGGAATTCCCAGACTGATTCAAGTTTAGGAAATCTATTAATATAATTTGCCCATAATAAAAGTATCTAAGGGAGATAAGAACTTGTGATCATCTACATAGGTTCTGAAAAAACTAACGGGTCCACCTCTTGTTTGACAAACCCCTCATGGACTGGCAGAGAGAGATTTTAAAAAGAGAGAGAGAGAGTGAGAGGCAGATACAATCAGACCAAAAAGTTATAGATATCCATAGACTTATATAAGCCAGTTGATAAAAATAAGTAAAAGATAAATTGTATTATATATCAAAATAACTTTAAGGTAAAAGGTTGCTAGATGGGAGGGGGAAAGAGGAGAACGGGTGAAGAGGTGAGGGGATTAAGAAGTACAAATAAGTAGTCACAGAATAGCCATGAAGATGTAAAGTACACTATAGGAAATGGAGTAGCCAAAGAACTTATACAGATGACCCGTGGGCATGGACAATAGTGGGGGAATTGCCTGAGGGAGTGGGGTGCTGAGTGGAGGGAGGTGGAGAGGGGCACAGGGGGAAAGCAGGATAACTGTAATAGCATAATTAATAAAATATAATTTAAGCCAAACAAACAAACAAAAAGACCAGATACTCCCACCTCAGGGCTTTTTCAGTTTTCATTCTGCCAGCGGATTGTGGGAGAGAGGAAGGGGAGCCTGCCCTCAGCTTGAGAGTGTCTGTAGACATAAAATCCCTCTTCTTCCCTCTGTTTCTCTTACTAACGAACTAAGGCAAGGTAACAGTATGATTTTGTGTGATTTGTGAACTGTTGTAACTTCCACTTGATTTTTCCCTTGCAAGTATATTCTTCAGTCTCCTAGGCTTACTGTGTTCTTTCCTAATAAAAAACAAAGCCTCAGGTTATATCAAGTCCATTTTCCAGCCATCCTCTGTTAGTTCTTTAAATGGTGGTATAAAAATCCCAAGATGTGTTTTTTGGTTTCTAAATTCTTATTTTCAGTACAGTACATGACATGCTTTTTGTTTGCCCTGAAAGTTGTAAGTCAAGATGTCTCACAGTAGGTGCCCTGTGTTCTCTCGTCAACCACATTTTCCCAGTCATGGTGCTATAGGAGAACATTTCTTATTTTATAGATACTCATGCATCAGACACATATTTTAGCAATAAATGAAGCTTTATTAATTTTCTCAAACAGACAAAAAGAGCTAAAAGATGCAGTTTCACACACACTTGAAACTTAAGACCCTTTGGGGCCATTTAGCTGTTTGTGTGTAAGGGGACTGGTAGACTCCCCCTTAGGACTCCATTTTGAATGCAGACAAAAGGAGATGAAACATTTATTGAAGACGATACAAGAAACATTGTACACAGGACAATGACGCCTCAGTCCCCTTCAAAGTAGGCACTTTGGTACCTCACACAGTTCTCCCAGTCTCCATCAGCTGCCTTGTTATATTTTCCTGAATCTCATCAATGGTCTAAAATATGGTCTAACTGGTCTAAAATGCCTCTTTCCCTTCAAAGGTGATTTTAGTTTTGGGAAAAAGAGAAAGTCACAGGGCACCAAATCTGGGCTATAGAGGGGCTGAGTCACCTGGGTGATTTAATGTTTCACAAAAAAACCCTGCATGAGCTGTAAGGAATGGGCAGACATGTTGCCGTGATGAAGCTGCCAGTCACCAGCTGCCCATAGCTGCAGCCTTCTCAGTCCTCCCAGTAGTTTCCACAGAGGAATGTTTGAGCTCAACGCAAAATCTGATGCAGAGTCATTGCTCTACTTGCTCATTTATTCTGAATGTGATGGCCACACAGTACATATGCTCACTCAAAGGTGTTTAGCACCCCCACTGACTAGTACAGCGAAGTCATCATTGTTCACACATGCGCATTCCAGCCCTCTCTCCTTGCTGCCAGTTTACATCAATGTCACACAAACTGTTCTCATTATATTAGCAATGCTTGGACTTTTTCCGGCCAGACATCATATGTGTAGTTTCAGCCTACTAATTCATTATTTTCTTTTTGTTATGTAATATTTACTATCATACTAAATTAAATTATCAAAACATGCTCATCTTAAGGAATAGGACAAGTTATACAACCAGGGCATTCTGTCCTAAGGCCATCAAAACATCTTTGTTACACAGCTAATGAATAGTTACACAACTGTTGAATAGTCTCTTGTGACATTTGTGCACAGAAGTATAACTTATATTCACATTTATGTGTTATTTTCTCTTAACAGTTGACTTCAAGCCTCGTGCCAGCATGGATACTGTCCATCATATGTTACTTTTTGGATGCAATATGCCTTCTTCCACTGGAAGTTATTGGTAAGGGATGATGGGCTCATAGTACAAAGGGAGGTAGAAAATGTGTGTTTTTACAAGTACAAAGTGCATCTGTGCAAGCATTTTACACCTGATTCATATGTAGGCAGAATATTTCCTTGTTAGAAAAGAATATTGTTCTTTCATATCAAGTAGTTACCATGTTTTAATTATCAGTTATTTAGTTTGCTGTGGAACACATCCATCAGTCTTCAACATTGACTTAAGAAATACATGTCTGCTGTCATAGAGAGCGTGTCAAGGTGCATACAGTTTGAAACACAAACACTAAAAATTTAGATAATGAACACTCCGATGTTCATTTTTTTAAGTTCATGATTCAGCCCAAAGAGCACTGTGGCCGTATTCAATGAGCCCTCTTTTATCCCAGGCACTGTACCGGGTAACCTGTGTATGCCATTTCATTTTGTCCTAATGTCTCTGAAAGCAGATGTTATTATTACTCCCACTGTACAGACAAGGAACCTAGAGCTCTGAGATTCGGTAACCTATTCAAGGTAACACGGCTGGCTAGTGTCCAACCAGGATTGAACCCTAGTTTGTCTGGTTCCAAATCCAGTTATTTTTATTTCATCTCACTGTGTCTCATGTATTCAAGTAACTGTTGCAGTTTTAGAATTTATTTTAATCACTGTGGTGAGCCTTAATACCATGTCATGATCAATCAATAAACCTCTATTAAATGCTTGTTATATGTCAGAACTGCAGCAGATGCCATGGGAGGTTCTAAGATAAATAGATATGTTTTCTACCCCCAGAAGCTTACAACATAATTAGTGCTTGATATCTTCCCTCTCATTTTCTTCTTTGGTGGTAAGAAGATCAATGAACCCTGAAAATAGCTGTGTGTTTTAAGCCTATTTTGCACCAATGGCCAGAATCAGTGTTACATATTTAATAGTGTAGAATGACTGTGTGTCTTCCTCTGAAGGGAAGGGAACTGTTTTGTGCCCTGTTTCTGCCCAATCATGTAGACTGATAGGTCTCTCTCCACGCATCCAAATGTTCATTAGGTGGATGCGAGGCACGCAGCAACTGCTTTCTAGTCATTTTTACAATAAACAATTGTTATATGTATTCAGAACTGTTAAAAGCACAGGGCAATTAGTGGAAATCTCCATGGACCAAGTAACATCAAAGCATTTGTTAATAGGCTTAAGTTATTTGATGAAAGGAGTATATCACATAGGAAACCCACTCACATGATTGAGTTTATGTAAAAATGGAGCCAATCACAGTTACCCTTTGATACCAACATTCTAGTTTTTGCTCTTCAGTAAATTTTTGTAAATAAAATTTTGGAATTAAAAGGTTATTCTCTGACAGCTTTTCTGAATCTGATTCAGCAAATCACATCCTTTGGGTTTTATGTTTTAAAAATATTTATTCTGAAATTAACAAATTTACCTTTGGATTAAAATGAGTAAAAATAGCTAAAAGGAATGTGAATTTTAAAAATCTGCTTTCGATTCACCTTGGTTCAAGGGAATGAATGAAAAAATAAAATATCACAAATGTTATTATGATTCTAATTATTAAGAAAAATATACAAAATGAACTAAGCCTAGTTCATTGTTCTCATGTTAAGGGAATATCAGAACAAACACATTATTTTGGTTTTTAAAATATTTGTTTATATTTTTAATATACTATTTTGATATTAAGTCTAGCTAAAGGATTTTCTTAGTTGGAGGAAGAGAATTCAAAGCAAAATGTAAATGAAAGTGAAAAACAATAATTTTGAGTAACGTGATTGCTACACATATTATTTTGCTAAAATCATTACTGGAAAGGCAACATAGTAGAGTGAAGGAGCAGTAAGTCACTGGCTGGATTCCCTGGGTGTGTTATCTACCCCATGTGACTGGCCCCAATTTCCTCATTTTATCAAGAGGCTCTCACTAGATCATTTATAGAACTCCCCTGAGCTCTAAAATTCCATAGGCAAATGAATATAAGTTGCATGCAAATGCTGAGTCAGATTGGAAAAGCATCATTATTCGGAGCTCGAGATGTGTTCTCTGGTTGAATCACTTCAAGCAGTGAGTCTACTGTGTTCTGCCATTCAGTTGTATCCTTAAGTAATTAGAATTCTTAATGACATTATACCCATATCATTTTAAATAGACTTTAAGGATTTGTCTGGCAGCCCACATTTTCACTTAATCTATAGGCTTGTTATAATTGGCTTTATAACCATGAAACACAGACAATAATTGATGCTGTTATTTATCTTTTCTTATCCAAGCCCAAAGTGTTGAATATTTAAAAGTAGGATCTACATGTTTTCTGTTCAGTATGAAAACTGGGAGATATGCATTAAGTAAAACTGTTCTAGTGATTCTGACTTCCACAATCCAGCCTTACTTTCCATTTAAAGAGAAGACAGACTTTCTAACCTCTGATATTTAGCAAGATCCATTGGTCTTAAAGAGTTAGAGCTCACAGTATATTTCATGGGCTGAACTTTTCAGTTGCTTCACAAAAACATCCTCTGCTTCCTACCCCCAGAGCTACACGGGCTCGGCCCTGACAACAGTCAGCAGATGTTTTCCAGCTGCTTAGCCTCTTATCTGTCCCACCTGAATTATAATACTAATAACAAATATCTATCAATGTCAAAAGCCCTGCATTCTTAAATATTTGAGTCATGGAATTTATCTCACTCATTTCACAGATGCAAATCTCTTCTTTACTTGCTCTAAGATACATACAGTAGTTAAAAAATTTCCAAACTTTCACAGATACTTTTGGTTATTATAACTATAATGGGTTTTGATAGTTAAGAATATCAAGAACTTATTCACGGTCTAGGGAAATCTTTACAGCAATATAAAGGTGTTTTAGCGGAAGAAGAAAAAGCTATCACTAGGATATTTTAACACCAAAGCATCAAGCTAGGGTTTTCCCTGTTTTCATTTGACTGTTCTATTCATCACCAGCAGGTTGGCAAATAGGTCTGTGTTTCTAATAAAGTAAACATTTCCCCTGAAATTATGAAGTTATAATTCATCCCCTGTCTTCAGGCAGCACTTTTATTATGAAGGCACAGAGCTATTCTGATGATGTTTCACTGTTGCACTGCCCCACTTTGCTCTTTGTGATTGCCTCATTCTACTGTTCATTAAAATATATTTACAGTTATATTAAGTTTACACAAAAATAGTAGACACAGCATGAAGCAGTTTTCATTATGTAGTCATTTTAATTTTAAAGTTTTTTTTCCCTCTACACATATCTAGTCTTTTGTGTCTCATTCCAAATTAGCAGCTCACACTGGTAATGTGTCTAGTTAATTATATGCATGTGCATTTAAATCGAATACATTGATGTGAACCTTTTAATATACTGTGGGGTGGTCCCTTTATAGTTAGAGTGGGCCTGGTGCTCAGTTCCGAATTTACATACCCCTCGAGGATGCAGATAAGGACTAGCTGGTGTCAGAGCAGCAGCTCTGCTGGCCCACATAGGGAAGGTGACAGTGCCTGTCAGAGGCCGCCCCCTGTACCTTCTTTCCCAGGCTTTTACAGGAAACAGTTAAAACATCTAGGGACCAACGGCAAGTTAATAGCACCGAGGTCGGAGCAAACATATCAATAGCATAATTTGTTGGACTTTATTTGTGCTTTCAGACTTAACCCAAAGCTTAGTATTTTAAGCTCCTCCAATTTGTTGCCTAAATAGGAGCTATGAGTGAGCAGATGTTCTTTGGGGCTTTTTTAGGGTCAGTAAGGAAATAAGATGGTGAAAACTGAGTCATTTAGTTATGAAGATTTTATTACTGCAGCCCACTAAAAATGGCAAATTCTAGAAAATCTTGGAAATTGAAATATTGTGTTTATTCTATGAATATTTTTTTACCTTTTTTTACTCTAATGATGACATTTTTAAAAAATAATGAGTAGCAGGGGGATTGGTAAAAAAGGTGAAGGGATTAAGTACAATAAAGAGGTTGTTACAGAATAGTCATGGGGATGTAAAGTACAGCATAGGAAATATAGTTAATACTATTCTAATAATAATGTATGGTACTAGATGGGTATGAGATTTATTGGGATGATTGCTTAGTAAGTTATGAAATGTCTAACCACTAAGGTGTATACCTTAAACTAATATAATAATGTATGTCAACCATAATTGAAAATTTTTTTAAAAAATTAAAAATGTTGGGTTGGACAAAAAGTTCATTTGGTTTTTTCCATAAGATACCTCTAGTGGTGCTTAGTTGTCTTTAACTTCATTCAAAACAATTTTGTTGGATTGTATTGTGACAGCTGTCATATCAGCATGCACTTAAAAAAATCATAATTGGTGAATTTTTGTGTAGCCATTATAATATTGAAGATAGAAGAAAATAAGCAACATTTTCAGCATATTATGATTTACTTTTCGAGAAAGGTAAAAATGCAACTGAAATGCAAAAAAAGATTTGCACAGTGTATGGAGAAGGTGCTGTGACTGACTGAACATGTCAAGGTGGTTTGCTAAGTTTCGTGCTGGAGATTTCTTACTGGATGATGATGCTCCATGGTTGGGTAGACCAGTGGTCCCCAACCTTCTTAGCACTAGGGACCACTTACATGAAAGACAGTTTTTCCACAGATGGAAGGAGGGTGATGGCTTTTAGCCTGTCACCAGATGCAGCATAATTGTCACTTGCCATTCACTGATGGGGTTTTGATATGAGTCTGCAAACATTTATTATATCCCTGTGCAGTCAAACCTCTCTGCTAATGATAATCTGTATTTGTAGCTGCTCCCCAGAACTAGTATCACCACCTCAGCTCCACCTCAGGTCATCAGGTGTTAGATTCTCATAAGGAGTGGGCAGCCTAGATCCCTTGCTAGCTCAGTTCACAGTAGAGTTTGTGCTCCTATGAGAATCCAATGATACCACTGATCTGACAGGAGGTGGAACTCAGGTGGGGAGTGTTGGGGATCAGCTGTAAATACAGATGAAGCTTTGCTCACCCGTCACTCAC